GGATTGCCACCCCCCCACCCCCCCCACCCCCCCTCCGACTGTCCCTTGCCCACACCCAGTACCTGGGCGTCACTCCCATCCATACTGCTAGCTCCGTGCATCCTTCAGTGTTTCCCTCCTTCCTTTCTACTGGAAAGGACTTGGCCTTGGGGGACAAATTCCTCTTTGATGAATGTACCCTGTGGGAATGTTTCATACTGACAGATTATTTTTATTTATTCAATGTCCTATTTAAAATATTTATTTTTTATACTGAAGGAATACTTTTTTAAAAAGAAAAAAAGAAATTAATAAAGAATCTACTCTTGGCAAGCTTTCCAGATTGTATTCATGTAGGGAGATGGGGCTGGAGGGGCTGGGACCGTCTCTGTCCTGGGCGCCCAGCTGGGTGGGGCTCTGCCAGGCCAGGGGCTGGCAGGTGGGAAGAGGGGATGCTTCCACCGGGCAAGGGTGCCGGCACGGGTGAGGGTGGGGTGGGCAGAACGTTGGCATAGGCAGGACAAGGTGGGTGGGGCTCCAGATCATGGGGTGCCACCAGGAGGTCCTGTTTGGAATCACACAGGACACTGGGGCCAAAACCAGGGCTTCTGTTGGGCTCTTCTGGGCCTGAGGAGCTCTCCCACTGCAGACACTGCTGTCCCTGTTCCTGCCTCACACCTGGGGACCCCCTTTCCCTGCAACCTTCTTCCCAGCCTCCTGGGACCCCCTTCCTTGGAGAACAAGAGAGTTTGGAACCGGATGGTCACAGACGCAGGGACTCTGGAGCAGCCCCCAGTCTCTCCCCGGTGCTTTGCTGGGGTCCAGGGCTCCCCGAGCTGAGATTCCTTTAGGGATGTGGGCAGTTTTCTGAGAGCCACCTACGTGCTCTTTCGTGAATGTTTGTAAGTGTCAGGTCGTGTGTAGGTTTCCAAAGGGGCGTAGGATAGAGTTCATGCTTCTGGAAGCTCCAAGGCAAGTGGGACAGTGAGTGAACACGTGTGTGTGTGTGCGTGCGTGCGCGCGCGTGTGCTCATTGATGGAAGAGGCACAGAGGAGGTGCTGAGCCAAGGTGGAGACAGCGCTCACTGCCTGGTGTCAGCAGGGTGCTCAGGCTGAGGTCCTCTGCTTTCTCTGCCAAGAAGGGCCTTGACTCACAGCAACACTGGCCTCACCTGGGGGTGATCAGGAAGGTGGCATCACTGCCTCTTATTAAAGGGCAGATTTCAATTCAGCAAGTCTTGGGTAGGGAGGGGGCAGATCCTTGCTGAATTGAAATCTGCCCTTTAATAAGATCGCAGGTGATCTGAGTGCACGTTAAAGCCCAAGAAAGGCCGCCCTGCCCTCCTTCCACCTCTCCTTCTGAGTCGACCAAGACGCCAAGTGTAAGTCACCAAGGGCTGCAGGGCGGGCAGCTGCCTGGGAGGGAGAGGCCGGTGGCTTCTGGGAGCCCCCAAACCCACAGCTGTTTCAGATTTTTTCTCCTGAAGCTCCTGGCAGGGAGCGGGCAGGCTGGCTGAATCCCCCCTCCAGGCCACACTCCCAGCGTCCCCCACTTCTCCTTCTCTCGTGGGAGACAAGGTTGAAGCTTTTCAAAAGAAACCTTTGCTAGAAAACTAGAGGAAAACAAAGCAAACACCAAAGCTCAGACAGGATGGAAGTACAGGGATATCAGATCCTAAACGTCATCCTGGGGGGCTGGCTGGGCTGCCCGGCCCTCGGGGTCTCCCCTCACCTCTGTGGGGAGTTCTCACCCCAAGAGAGGGCAGGTGTTTTGTTCTCTGCCCTGCCGTGGCCAGAGAGAACACAAGGCGGTTAATTGGTCATTGGGTGATCCTCCCGCAGGAGGTGAAACAGTCGGTGGGTGGGAGGAAAGGAGGCCGCCACTCTGCTGGGAAGGCTGTGCCCTTGAGGCCTGGGTCCTTGCCGTGCTGCCACATGCAGTCCTGTGACCCTCCAGAGTGAACTCAGCTCTCTTATCTGTGAAACTGCAAGAGGAATCGGTGATGAATGCCATCCTATCTACCTCACGAGGCTGCCGAAAGGCACCCAAGAGCAGGGAACTCGAAACGCTGGGTGAATTGGCATGGCCGGCCCATCAGTAGGTGGAGATGGAGAAAAGAGAACCCAGTGCCTCAGACCCCAGAGCCGTCTCTGTAGGAGAAAGGGGGTCCTCCCCCCAAGTGAGTGCAGGAGGGAGAAGCTGACAGCTCTGAGTCCAAGGCTGGGGGGGCTAGGCTGATGAGGAAGAGAGGGAGCAGGGCGGACAAACTTTCAGTGAATTGCTCCTCCGACGGTACCCTGAGTCGCAGGCCTGGAGGAGTCCAGCCCAGAGAGAAGCCAGGGGCAGCCCAGTACCCAACTGAGCCTTCTCCCATCCTGGCTCTCCGGAGGTCAACAGGACAGGAGAGACACTCCCTCCCCCTTACCAAGAAGCCAATTGTCAACAGCTATCCCGCTAGAGGCACAATCCCACGGGCTCTGTAATGACCCTGCACTTTACAGTTTACAAAGCATTTTCTCACCCATTGGGAGATCCTCCCAACCATTCTGAGATGGGACTAGATTACTAGTCCATTTTACAGATGAGGAAACTGAGGCCCCAGGAGGCTAAGGGACTCTCCTGACATCCATCACTCAGCATGTTGAGAGAGGCTCCTTATATTTGCTTATCCTTACATTCATCATCTGTCCACTTACCTTGTCAAGACTCTATGAGCCAGGCTTCAGACCCTAGCAGCTCAAGGGTCAGCAGTGGAAGAAAGAATTTCCCAGGTCACCTCTGCCCTAGATTCAGACTAGGCAGAAGGAGAATTATATTATCATGGTAAACAACCACATTTTCAGCAATAAAATTAACATCGTAATGGAAACACCATATATTTATTTCCTTATTTATAGCCCTCTTTGTCCTAAACAGCATGCAA